AATCTAACCTTCGTACAAAGTTCATCATAAATATAGCGACAACGCTACTCATTGGTTGTTAGAATCAACTATTATGTGCTTTGATACAGTACCTATTCAAAGGCCCACAGTTTTGTAATAGGCCATCTGCAACCCACTGCTATATTAAAGTAAATAACTTACAAGGTAAGCATTTACTTTATAAATATCATTTTAACGACTAAGACTTTCTTTATTTTAGTTTTTAACAAGAATTTTATTAAAAAACAATTAAAAAACAAATATAAATTTTTATAGGATTTTTGAGACGACGGCTGTAGGAGGGCGAATAAAAATGTGTTTAAACCTTTAGATAATCTTACCTTCGTACAAAGTTCATCATAAATAATAGCGATAACGTTACTCATTGGCTGTTAGAATTAACTATTATGTGCTCTGATACAGTACTTATTCAAAGGTCGACAGTTTTGTAATAGGCCTTCTGCAGCCCGCTGCTATATCAAAGCAAATAACTTACAAGGTGAGCATTGACTTCATAAATATAATTTTAACGACTAAGAAAATATATTTTTGATCATACACTACATCGCTTAAGCCGCTTACTCTCTGCGTCGCACAACCTGGTATGACGAATCCAATTCCTTTCCCTGTGAGCTCTAGACGACGCGACGCCGTCTGCTGATTGTCGGTGTAGCAGTCTGAATTGAACAGATCGCCATTGGCGTTGCGTTCATCATAGAATTAAAGTGTCAGTCAACGTGCGCAGTTATGACTTACAATTTATAGATAATTGTTACAGAAAAATTGGCTATACGGGATATTGTTGTGTATGATATTGGTTGATAATGTATTTATTTTCCAGGTAGTGCCTGTTACATGACAACAATGGATAAGATTATGATGTTAGTAATTCTATTATTCTGTAACATATCTAAAGCAGTGAGAATTGAACACCAGCCAGTGGACCGTTCAGTAGCAGAGAAAAAACGAGTTCATTTTACATGCACTTTCAAAGACATCAACGACAACATGGAAGGCAAATATGAAGTCATTTGGACTAAAGATACTTACATCATCAGTGAACTTAATGGATTTAATCTAAAGAGGTTTAAATTTGAAAATCTCTTTGCAGAAAAAGAACACGTTGTAAGAATTAATCATGTCAATAGAAAGGACAAGGGAGGGTACCAGTGTCACTTACGGTATAATAATGACATCTTGTTGACATCCAACACTGGAAAACTCACCGTTCGCGAAATACCATCAGATAGATATCCACTTGTTAAACTTGATAAAGAAATTTACAGACCCGGAGAAGAGATTGCAGTAAGTTGTGTGTGCGAAAACACAAACCCTGAACCAACACTTGAATGGGATCCAACAACACAAACCCTGCTACAAAGTACAATTATCAAGAAAAATGATTCACTCATTTGGATTGAAGCAACAGTGATTGCATCTACTGCTGTCAATGGTTTAGTCCTTACATGTTTATTACACGTAGAAGACGAACCTGTCCCTAGAGATCAAAGTAAACACCTCGACATTAATAATGGTGATTTTCAAATTACAACGACTGTTCTAACAACAACAGTAATTCAACATGAAAAAAATCTTTCGTTAACACCTCAAATAACAAATTATGAAAAAGATTCAAATGAAGTTGATTTTAAACAATGGCGTTTACTTGTTTTGATAATTACTTTTGCTCTTACCACCTGCGTATCGTTCGTGGTAATTGTAATTTTAATAGTTTATAATAGGAAAAAGAATAAATTATATAAAACCATGCAGGAAAAGTGTGAAGCCTCCGATTATTCAACCTCATTCCTACCAGAGGTGAAACGTGAAAAAGAAATGGCGAGTATGTCTAGTAATGCCTTCCATGATCAGGCAACATATGAAACTAACGATGAATCAATCCCATTCCTACTGGAAATGAACTGTGAACAAGATTCGAAGAGTATGTCTAGTAATGAATCTATTGATCAGGCAACTACCAATGAATCAACTTCAGTCCAATTGAAATTGAACCGTGAACAACATTTGGCGAGTATATCTAGTAATGAATCTCATAATTATGCAACCAGTGAAACTACCACATTACTAAGGCACAGGAACATTAAAACAAAATATTCGTTAAGTAGTTATATCGGCCCAGGGCCACCTTAAGTACGGTCAACTGATAAAATGACAAAAAAAATGACAGTTTAAGCTGGCCCATGATCGCACTGCGAACGTTCATGTTTGTGTATAATTGTTTTTATAAATGTGGAATACCTTAAATTAATTAAAATTGATAACATGAGTTTTAAAAAAATGAAACTTAATTTTCCTTTCATGTATGTGGGAAATGGTCACAAAGACGAATTAAGTAATATCAGTTGGTTGTCATGTGTCAAAGGTATTAGAGTTTTACAGAACCAACTTACAGATTATTTAAAAAAAAGTATAAGTTTGATAAATATTTACCAATATGCATTTAGAAAAGATCACTCAAAAACTACCTGTTTACACATGATAATTGAAGACTGGATTGACTTGCTTTTTTGGATATTACAAAACGTTTTATACAAACCTGAAAAAAAAAAGAACCTTCACCGTATAATGAATAATATACAAGGTTGGTACACAAAGAATAAAGAATAAATTAACATCGTAAAAACTAAAAGTAGGCTTATAAAAAAACAAACACCTTTCTCTAGTCTATAGAAAATATCCAACGCATACGATATCTTGGACTAGAAATAGCTGAAAATCTTACGTGGGAACATTACATTAAATACGTATGAAAATTAAGTAAGCTCAAAACTTGCATACACTTTAAACGAAAATATGCTAGATAAATTATACTTAACTACAATGCAGCCATGTATGGATTACAGCATTCCAGTCTGTGGAAAATATAAATGAAACAATAGTTTTTATGTAAACAGTAAACATGAAATAGAAAGAATAGGTCAGCATTCGACTATGATAATCTTAACTAAAATGCTGACCCTTACAAATTATGCAATTGTTATTTCGACGAGTTTGCAACTAAAAACGGGTATCAAAAGCCCCATAGGCGTTGCACTGGAATACAAATACATAAGCATCAAACTTAATAACGAATATATATATTTTATAACATCAACTGGTAAAAATTATACAGTATATATGACAATATGTGAAGACTGGGTGCCACAAGGCCGGAACGTGTACCCTCTTTGGAGAGGCAAAGGGGTGGTGGTGGGAACGATTCAAACATTTTTTTCGTCTTTCTCGAGTGCAGTCTAAAATGCAAAATGCCCTTATTTTCTTTCTTACCAGCCAGCTTCACAGATAAAACTACTTAATACGCAGCGCTCAAAATTATCGGTCTTCCGACCGCAGCCAAAACAAAGACAAAAGCAAGCTTGTGTTATCCGCTTACATAAATGACTCTTCTTTTCGTGCCTCCAGAAGAGCTAGTTATAGACTGCAAAAAAGTGCAGCAAGCGTAGTCACAAATAATTTAAAATTATCGCACATGGAGAGGAGATAATCAATAATGTTTAATTATTTTAAAAAGTAGGGGATTAAATTTCTCTATGATTATATATTTATATGTTTTACCGGCACTGCACCACTGACACTTGAGATGAAATAGAAATGATATTTGATCGACATGTGTATAACACAAGAATTACAGATTAACCAAATAATTATTGTACCTCTAAAAGTAAATATAAATATAACCAAGACATCACTTAGATATACTGGTGTACATTTATGAAATGTATTGCTGCATTTACTAAAGGAATCATCTCATTTTAAAAATTGAATATATAATTAATACAACCTTGATTACCGCTTTCGGAATACTCTTAATTTTAATCACCTACTCATACATAATATAGTTTTATCATTGTTTTATTAACTGTTTACATTTCGTAAAACAATTGTACTAATATGTTTATTACGGAATTTTATTTTTTTAGTTTAAGATAAAGAATTTTATCATCCACTTATTACGTCCTTACGTTGTGATTTTATTTTTTTAATTTTTGATGTATTTTAACAAAATTCAATGCATTCTGCGTTTTGAATTAAGCTTTTTATCATAATTTGTAATTAAGTCTCTTTTTAATTAATATTCAAATTTCTGATTTTTATATTGTGTAATTTTGTATCACAAAATAGGACCATGTGTAAAAGGTAGTGGCTATCGGCACTGCCGCATTGCCAAAAAAAGCTGCTGTTTTCTATCGGCACTGCCGCAGTGCCAAAAAGCTGATGTTTTCTATCGGCACTGCCGAAGTGCCAAAAAGTTGTTGTTTTCTATCGGCACTGCCACAGTGCGAAAAGCTGCTGTTAATTAATCGAATCGATGTTTTTATCGATAGATGACATTGGTATAACTCATAATTCATAATTTTATTTCACTCAAAACGTAATGAAACTGGTTAGGCAAAAACATGTCCCTGTACAAGATGCCTTCTAGAGAAACAATGATAATGTCAATGGCAAAGACATAATAATAATAATAATAATAATAATAATAATAATAATAATACTAATAATGATAATAATAATACAAATAATAATAATAATAATAATAATAATAATAATAAATAAATAATAATAAAAAGTAAATGATAATAATAATAATGAATAAAGATCAAAATATATCATTGAAGTGAATTATTTATGAAAACAAGATTTGGAGGGCTGGACTGTCATGAAGGTGTTGTATTAATGATGTTATAAAAAATAATTGCATTTATTATATAAATAATTGATTAGGTCTAGCTTAGCCTATATCATTGTTAATATTATATAATATATGTTTAACAATTAGTTTAAATAATTATTTCTAATTAAATTATGAAATGTATACAATATATATTATATAGGCCTAGGCATATACATAAAACAAAAAATAAACAGACAACAACAATAATAATAATAAAATAATGATAATAATAATAATAATTTTACGATAGTTTGATTAATGAAATAATAATAATCAGCATATTAAATAAAATTACGTCCATGCAAAACCTGCTTTTAAATAAAAACGTTATCTATTTGATTCTGATTTAAAAAATAATCTTATAAATTATAAGTTTATTTTTTTGCGATAATTTTATGCACATATTATGCATAGTCATATTTTCAATGTTAATCTGGTTGATAAATAATATATCAAAAAAATAAATAATAATAATAATAATAATAAAGGTGCTCGAATAATGCTTTAGTAAATAATCAATAATACTTCAATAATCCTTCAATAGGCCAATTTACGATAGTGTGATTAATGAGATAATTGTTGATTAATTTACAGAAATATAATAGGTAGGCCTATATTCCATTAATAATGATTCAGCATATTACTCTAAAATGTATAAAGATGGAGTGGTATTTTGTATGCATAAGTATAATATACACGATACTCATTTTTTTCATATATATGTATTATTGCGATAGAAACTACAGTTTAGTCGTTAGGGATTTTTGTTTGTTGTTATTATTATATGCTTAAACCGATTATAGATATGGACTGTCTCTTATACACATCTAGATGTGTATAAGAGACAGACACTACTTTCGCCTTATTGTACTGTTTTTAACCACTTCATTGTTTTAGTTTCCCCCTATGGATACTTCTAAGCTCCTATATAATAATAATACAATGTTAAATACTGTTATGTTATTTTTAGTATACTTTGTAATAGTTTAGACTGTATTAGCCATATTGTAGAGTGCATGTACAAAGTTCGTTCTAAAGTGCCCTCATAAATTTTGTTGTCCAAATCACCTGTTGGCTAATGTTCCTAATAAGGTTAAGGGACTGTTGAATCTGAGTTGTGTGATGATGTCATCTACAACTTCATCCTTAAGGAGATGATGTCATTCCCAAATTCATCTTAAAGTTAGTAAATTCCTTTTAAAGTTATGTGGTGATGTCATAATAATCTCCCCCACATATCCTGTTCATAAATGTATAAAATGGGGTAAAATCCTATCATTTAGTTAGTCCAAAAGTTCTAAAGTTATCATTAACTTTATTACAAGTCTGCTGTCTGCAAGTTTATCTATATACCTTGCCGGTCTCGAACACCAGTCTTTGATCCAACTTACTTAGCCGTGGGCTCAGCTAATTCTGTAAGTTTTCGAGCATCTTAAAGTATTTAATTGTGTTTTACCACCATCATTTTTGTTCTCTTTGATAATAATGTATCTATGTTTTTATTAATAAATGTACATATTGTATATAATACTAAGCTATTGTGTTTCCTATTCTCTGTTTGTGCTTTGCATGTAACAGAAATTGGGTGGTCATCCGGGAAAGAAACTTGAACGATCACAACTTTAATTTTTAATTTGTATTTTGCGAGTTGTAATTTTTAATTAATAACATAGGAACACTATGGCTCAGACTCATGTAGAGTTTGCCAGGAAAAAAGAGGAATTATTTATTAGATGGTGTGATTCTAAAGATGCACAAACCTTTTTACGCTAAAGGCAGTTAGTGTTGCTTGAAGAGTTTAAATCTTGTATACATCCTAATATTCGTACTCACTTGGGTGAGCGTAAGATAAACTCATTAGAAGAAGCTGCTAGAGCGGCTGATGATTATGCACTAACACATAAACTGTCCTTTGCCTCAAAATCCAAGCCAGATTCTGGTGTGGATGTTAAATTAGGTCAGGGTTCTCCTACAACTAATATAGCTGTCAATTCCAAGCCCATAGATAATAAATCAGGAGCTAAGTTTTCACAGGGGTCAGGAGACAAGCACTCAGGTCCTACTTGTCATTATTGTAAAAAGCCTAGACATATTATGTCTGAGTGTTTTGCCTTAAAAAGAAAGGAAGCTAAAAATAAGCCTTCTGGCTTTATTTCGGCCAAACAGCCAAACGATGAATGTGAGACTGCTGAGGTTTTAAAGGTCCAATCTAACTTACAGTAAAATGCATGGACACGTCTGTGCTTGATGGGTACTCCCTCTTCATGTCTGAAGGTTTTGTGTCCCTTGTAGGGGACAATGCTAACCCTAAATCTGGGATACAGTTGCATCTTAATCCTTGCTTTTGGAGGGTATACTTCCCTTATCTAACAAATCCTTTTCAGGGGATAGTGTTTTGCTGCAAGGGATTGAATTAGGTTTTGTTAACGTACCACTTCATAATATTTATCTTATTTATCTGATTTAGTTACTGGACCT